TTTTGTGCAGGTCCGCCCAAGTATTCAGATCGGTCCGGAGGCCGAGTTCGAGCTACAATCAGAAATACACTGTTGTGCATATCCTTGCATAAACACATCTGAACTCATACCATCTACCTCCTCGACTTTGCCTAGTCGATCCCCCAGGAGCTTTGCCATATCTCTGGTCAAATACTCAAAAGGTATGCAGTGTATTTGAACCCAGAAGGCACAAAACCTAAAGTCCACGTCCAGAGGTTTGTCTGCAGCCGTTGGTGACACGAGAACAAATAGAGACTTATCAAAAGTCCAAGGACCTGAAGAAAGAACTCTTTTCTTCTCTACCATAGTCTTAAAAGCTATAACGTAGATGTTCAAACCAGCAGCCTCAATTCGAGTAGATTCATGAATTTTCCAAACCTGTTTCATTACAGACGCCAAAGCTTTAGCGCTTATCCTTTTACTTGTGTGAAGTTTACCAACCCCACAAAGTTGGATATTTTCAGCCGTCAAAATTGGTTGCTGATTGTCAACGATAAAGGTCTCTTCTTCTTCGTTAGTAAGGTTGAAATTTTCCCACAATTCTGTAATTTCATCCATCGTAGCCAAAGATAGAACCCCCTTTCACCCCACCAGAAAACACTAAGAATTCCATGCCTCCACACTCTCAGGTAGAGAGACGACTCTCAAGTAGAGAGAAAAAAACCCCTCAATTAATTTTAGAATTTAAGTATAAAAAAGTGTAATAAATATATATTAATTATTTCAAAATGAAATCGGGTCGAGACATGCATTTCCTATCTTTAGGGCCCGACCCTGCTGAAATTTTTGTCATCGTAGAGACATGAAAATACAAGTTTAGAGAGATGTAAATAAACTTTTGGAATATAAATTTTAGAGAGATAAATAAAAAGATTTAGAAAAAAAATTGTGAAATAAAAGTTAAAGACAAACGAGAAAAATTTTAGAGAAAAAAAGTAAAGTCGAGAGAAAAAGATATGTTAAATTAAAAAAAGAAATTATAAAAAAAGAGAAAAATTATAGTGGAATCAAATTTTGAGATAAAAACAAGATTCAAAATTTAATTTTAAGAGAAAATAAATAAATACAGAGATAAATAAAAGTTACCATGAAAGAAAATTGAACAAGAAAATAAGATATAATTTTCAAATAGATTATGAAGAGAAAGAAAAGTTATAAAAGACGAAATTTTAGAGAGACAAAAGTTAAGAAAAATATTAAATTTTTAGAGAGAAATGAAACTGATCTGTTAAAAAAAGAGAAAACTTTGGAGAGAGACAAATAATAATAAATATTCAAAATATGAAAATTTTAGAAAGAGAAAAATTAATTTTGTAGACAGAAATTTAGAAAGAACAAAAATTTAGAATGAGAAATAAATTTTTTAGTGATAAATATGAGAAAGAAGAAAATGGTTGAGTATTTAGAAGAAAAAAGTCAGATTTTGAAAAAGAGAAATCTGTTTTTAAAAACTATTATTTTTTTGAAATTTACGTAGAATTTCAAAATGGTTTTTGAAAAACAAAAAACAAGAAGTAGAATTGGTTATCAAACAATCCTGTTTTTAAAAAATTAAAAACTAAAAACCAAAAACCAAGAACGAAATGATTATGAAACGGGTCCTTAGGATTTTTTTCCCTCCTTCCCAAACAATTTGCATGCTTCATAGAAAATAAATTTTCCTACATTTTTTTAAAATAAATTAGAGATTGGTTTTTCTAATGTAGGATTTTTGCATATTTATCAAATTTTGCATATTAAGGAGAAACTTCTTTTAGTTCATTTTGTGGTCCTAGTTCACAAAGTTTTGGAAGAATGTCTATATTTTCTTAAAATCACAAATGTGGACTTAAACAAGATTTTGGAGAAGTCATCCGCAAAAAAAAAAGAAGATAAAATGAAAAATTATTTTAACTCAGGTCATCTCATTTACTCTCGTTGTTTGGGGGAAAGAATACCTTGGACACGTGGAGGACAGCCATTGGTGTCCCAAGGTGACCATGAGTCATGCCCCAGCTCGGACCGCCGAGATCACCACCACTAGCGTTGACAGATACTAAGTATGAGGGCCGAGGTGAACCTGGCCCAGGTCCGACCTACCGGGAAGCTCGGTGGGGGCCGATGTGAGCTACTGTCAGCGGCGTGATTATCGGGTGTAACCGTCGGTCCCGAGATTACCGGGTGTAACCGTCGGTCCCGAGATTACCGGGTGTAACTGACGGTCCCGAGATTACCGGGTGTAACTGTCGCGAGATTAGCGGGACTACCACCCATAAGTAGAGGACTTCACTCCACGATCAGGTACGATGATTTCTGCCCTCGAACTAAACTGGGAATCCGACCTATACTGACTTGATCGTCGGAGTGCTCACCTTTTTGTGCAGGTCCGCCCAAGTATTCAGATCGGTCCGG